GTTTCATGCAGCAAGACTCCCAGACCTACCTACATAGGTCCTCTCATTGTCTTTCTCAGTCTAGGTGTCATGGGCAAAAAATTATTTTTTTCTTCCGCTTATTGGCCCATAAGCATCAAAGCATCTTTTAGTCGGAAACCATTTATTATGCTTTTCTCTTTCATGCTTCATATAGAAACCATGATCAAATGTTCTAACATTGGTTGTGAACATAATTCTCCATTTGTGCATCTTCCAACTCTCCCCAGGCCTTTAGTATTGCACATCTGAACTATAATAGCCAAGTCCATTCCCCTGCCTCTGGTTGCCCTGTATCAGCTCATTCTAAAATAGCTGTTGGAATACACTTGGGACACAATGTCCTTTCCTTTCCAGAGATCCTATAGTGAATGACTTCTAGTTTCTTATGAAATCCCTGTAATTAGTGAAAACTATAAATCATTTGGTTAAAAACCTCAGGGACTTCATCTTTTGGTACATGAGGACTAATGATCATGAACCGTCTGAGGGTTATGTCCATGCTTTTAGCTCAGAATAGTGGGCCTTTTACAAAAATATATAAATGTGTTCTTTTTGGCCTTTCTTTTGCATTTGCATACATACTTATGTGACAAAGAAATAAAATATAAACTTGGTACTTAGTACAGAGAAGGACAACTAATTCATCAGATAGTCGTGTTACATAAGGCTTTACTGTATGTGGGGGCCACCTAACCTGAAGTTGTTTGTCTAGAATCTTTGGCACCATTCTTGATCCCTTCCTCTCCCTTGACCCCCCCAGTTATTCTCAATTACAGTCTTTTAATTGATTTTCTCACTTCAGCATTTGAGCCGCTCGAATCTATTTTCCTCACAGAGGCCAGAGCAATCTTTGAAAAATATAAATCAAAGCATGTCATTCCTCTCCTTAAAAGCCTTGACTGCTTTCTGATTGTACTTAAGAAAAACAAAATCTCAAATCTAAATCCCACTTCTGGATTTCACTGTAACCACTCCCCCCATACTGGGTGTGCCTAAGCCATGGGGTCTTCCTTCAGTTCTTCAAACACACCAACTCTTTCTCACCTCAGCACCTCCACTCCAGTCTGGAACATCATTCCCTGACCACCCTCTCCTGCTGCCCCTTCTCTCCCACCTTCCCATCCTCCACCCTTAAGTTTTCGCCGGGCTGACTCATTGATTCATACTCAGCATTCAAATATTGCCTTAAACATCACCTCCCAGAGGGGCCTTCCCTGGACCTCAAATCTAAATGTAGGTCTTCCTATTTATTGCCTGTTCTTCTTATAGCTCTTATCATAGTTTTAAATTAGATTGTGTTTTGTGTAGTTTGTTTAATGCCTTTCTCTCCTGCAAGCCTGAAGCTTTCATGACTATATACCCCAATGTTTTGTTTGCTCTTTGACCAGCACATAGTAGGTGCCCAATAAATAACTGTTGAATGAATGAGTGAAAGAAAGAAAAAACGAAGTATAATAAATAACTAGAAAACATTCAAGAGAAAAATTGCAATTTTACTGTTTATCAAAGAAAAATTATTAAAGCGTATATTTTTTAGTCTATTTAGTTAGTAAAATTATTTGAAGTTATAATTCCCATTTCCAGCTAAGATTTGGGGAAAAGGACACATTCATACATTGTATGAGGAGAGGGAACATTTCTGTATTCATTTTTGTTTATGTATTAAATATTTATTGAATGAGTAAGAGGATTAGTGTAATCATTATGGAAAGCAGTCTAGCTAAATGTATTTTAAAACGTCAAATTATTTTTATTGACCCAGTATTTCCAACTAAGAATTTGTCATAAGGAATAGTGCTAAATATGGAATAGGTCATATATTTAAGGATATTTCTCTCAGTGTTATTTGTAGGAGTAAAACATTGGAAACGCCCTAAATGCCCACTAAATTAATAACTGAGTAAAGCATAGGATATCCACCAGATAGTATATGAGTAACACATAAGCTAAAGGGTAGGATAATATAATGACTTCAAAAATATTTATAGTATTAATGTAAGCAGATGAAGAACACAAAGTTTTATAATAACGTTTACAGATTCTATCCACAGGAAAAAAAGACTGGAAAGAAATATGTCATGCCGTTGTAGCTATGGGTGATGTCCTTCTCTCTCTTTTTTTTTTTTCATATTTTCTTTAAGAGTACATATTTTATTTTGTTCAAGTCTTATATTAAATTGTGGTATAACATAGCTTGTATATTGAGGTTCACTTCAATTTTCAGTACATTCTAATAAATCCCAATCCTTACATTTCATAATTATGGAACTGAAATTCTGTGCTTTCCATTTTAGGATGACAGAACCTTTGCGGAAAGTTCCCATGCTCATGGGTTAGGTCACTCATCCTCTTGGCAGGATCGCAGTCACTTCCTGTCCAGTCCACGATTTTCACACTTGAACTGTAAGTAATGAAGTCCTGAACCAGTTTTTAAATTGGATTTAAGAAAATGCAACTCATAGAAAGATTAAACTGTAAGGCCAGGACATGAAAGTTATATTCATGTTGTGAGTTTGAAAAAATTTTCATTATGAGTCGTACAAATAATGCCCCAAAAGTACATTTATTGTGTCACCAATTTACTAAAAAAAATATGGAATCCCTTCTTTTTGACCTTATACTTCTCAGAAAAAACTTAAAATCAGTCACCCAAGGTAATAATCTTAATGAAGCAAATTTTGTGTGTGGTGACCATTAGTAACTGTGGATGAGGGGGTAATGGAAGTTAGATGGTATTATAATAAAATTCAAATCATCAAAAAGTGGAAACTCATTACATAGAACTATTCAGCAATACCTAATCTTGTGCAAAGATAAGGATACTAATACTATTACCGGCTAGATTTCATTCTGTGAGTATACTGTAAGTATTGATGAGATGTCATCAACATCAAGTGTGAGTCTGTTGACCCAGGCTACCATCTCCCACCATCTACTCCCTCTCCTTCTCTGCTATACTTATTCTTCAGTTTCAGTTTGCCTGTAATGTCCTTAAAGAAGCCTCCAGAATTTACAGTTTTAAGTATGGTTTCTGTTATGAGTGCCCACAATGCCTTACAACTTCACTTTAAAACATTTCTCAGAATAATTCTGAAGTTATTTGTTATTTGAGTGATTTTTTGTTTACTGATTCTTTTCTTCACCAAAGAGTGAATTCCATGATGATAGGAATGATGTCTGTTTTGTTCACCACTGTGTCCTTAGCATCCTCATAGTACTTGGCAAATACTAAAAGCCTATTTAATATTAGATGAATGATGATATGAGTTGTTTTTTTTAAGTCCACTTTCATCCAAACCATTGGGACTCAAATATTATTTAATGGAGTCTTATTTAGATAATCATTTAGCTCTTCAGTTTACCATGGGCATAGAGTTTGTCCATTAAATTTGACAACTCTGTCATTTAAAAAAGCTAGGTTGCTATAAAATAAAACACCAAAATAAGCCACAAGGAAGTAGGTCAAATCCAAAAGTGATAACTCTCTTTTTTGCTGATTTATATTCATGGATTCATTAAATAAATATTTATCAGTTTCTGATAAATAGTTTGGTTTTCATTATACCGTGATTATTTTATTCCAAAAGCTAAGCATTTTCTTTCCTGTCCTAAGCATTTTACCAAGTGATTTTATATCTGCATAAACCCTCTGCTATTCTAATCTGGCAGCTGCCCTTCAATATGGATCGTATCTCAAGTTGGTTTTGGTACCTTAGAATCTGATATATACATAGGCTAAATTTTCTTATCTTTCGTATTAAGTAATGGAAAAATTTCCTCAGGTCTGTTTGATGTATGTAAACATGGAGGGGGAGGGTAAGGATAGAGCACCATTAAACATCATAGTATCCCACCCAGTAAGATATTCAAGAGCCTGGAGATAAACAGCACCATGATATGAGCACAGAGGTCATTGTTCTACTGGTATTTTATTTTGCCATCGTGACTTTGGTAAGGCTCCCTAGAAAGACACCTCGAAGAAAGTGGTTAGAAGACTTTAAGGGGAAAACATCAAGATGTTTGGAATTTTATTTATTATTATGATAGGCAGTGAAAGAAAGTGTATTCAGTTTTCCACTCAGTAGCATTTCATGATCAGCAGTGGTCATTTCTCTAAGATGTTCCTCACAGGCAGCCATAGGTTTCTTTATAAATACACTGGCTCAAGAGGAAATAAGCATAGTAAAAAAATATCACTGAGAACATAATTTGGATAAGAAAATACTTATTATAGTCTAGATTGTAAGATCTGACTCAAAACTTTAGCTTAAAAAGTAAACCTGTTTATTTAATTTATTGATAAATTATTTGTTAATTCATAGCCTTATGTTTTACTACTCTTCTTTTTGACAACTTTGTTTTAGGACTTTCCTCCCACACCCACCTCCATATTTTCAAGGATACTTTAAAAGATTTAAGCATAGCTACCTTATTGTTAATCATTTTAAGTGATCGAATTAAACTTTTTTCTAAAAATCATATTTGTTCTTATTTGCTTTTTTGATGAACCTTGAATTTTCTGTGCATTTTTCATAATGTGGTATTTTAGAATTGGATTAGGATCACTCTGAATACTTCCCATTTTCATAGCACAATTTCAGCTTAGTTATAGAAATTGCCCTATAATTTTTCTTTAATCTCCCTTTATACCTCCAAAATTAAAAAGGAGAGATGTCAAGACCAACAAAGAGAAAAATAGAACCTATGGTAAATTGATAATACAAGGAACAGAAGGTGTCTTTAAAATATTCATTAATGCCCTCGGAGATCTAAGAGAAAATATTATTACATCCATTAAAAATAAGAGCAAGATGCTATGAAAAAGGAACACAGGATAAGAAGCCTCAGAAATGTAAAATATGATCAACCAGAAAGGTAGAAGAAGTTGAGAAAATCACAAAGAAAGGAGAAGAAAAAGAATGGAACAATAGGAGAGAAAATATAGGATGTTCAGAAAATCATTTCAAGAGGGACAATACCTGATTAGTGAGAGTCTTGGGATGAGAGAATAAGGAAAACAGAACAAAGGCCGGAAGTGGGCAGCTTACAAGGGCCCACCCAACAAGGACCTGCTGCACAGCTGTCATCCTGATGTTTTTCTTCATCCTCTTCCTGTGTTGATGCCCGTATTTCTCAGATCCCATGCCTTTCTCTGCTTGTTTCAGTCCTTTCTTTTGTGGAAACACATTAAAGAAAGGGACGTAAATGTTTTCAGTCTTTGTATTTCTGAAAAAGGATTTCTTCCGCTCACACTTGACTGAGATTTTGGCTGGCTATAAAATTCTAGTCGAAAATGATTTTCCTTCTGAAGCCATTGTACCATTGTCTTCCAAAATCCAGTACTGCTGTTGAAAAAACTTACGTCATTTTGTTTTGACACTCACTCCTTTGAAGTGACCTTCTCCACCACCACTACCCCCCACCCCAGCCCTGAGAACCTTTGGGATCTTCTCTTTCACCCCAGTGAGTTTCATGATGATATCCCCACCCCTACCATGGGTCTTGTTTCATTCACTTTTCTAGCTACTTGCTGGGTGGGCCCTTCTAACGTGGGCATGCATGTTCCTGAGGTCTCTCACATTGAAGGAGGAGGGGAAAGATTTCATCAGGAAAATCTTTAAGAAATAAACAAACTCATAGATTATTTGATTCAGTTGGACACTTAGAAAAAAACTACTAATAGATGGCAGATCTAATTGAGCTATTGGAAACAATTAAGGATGGTCATAGAGAAACAGCAAATAAAAAACAGAAATAAAAACATTAGTCAATTAATAACTCCAGGGGAAAAAATGAGCAAGAAAAGAAACATTGTCGTAGTATACCTATTAGGTTGTGTAAGCCATATTTACATAGTCATAATAATATAAATACTTACTATTGACATAACTAGGAGTTCAGATGAAGCTATTTTGGGAGGATGGAGCGAGGGTAAGTGGATGGGTGTGGATAAGTCTAAAAATGATAAATCAGAAAATAGCAATATAAGCTTTTTTTTTTTTTTTTACAAAAATTGAAGTAAATACAGAAAATAAAACTGAAAGAGTCGATTGTGGCTGACTCTGGGGAGTAGGACTGTGGGATTGGGAGGGATGGGGCAAGAGACTGCTGTCTTTCTTTGGAGCCCTTTGATCCTAGTTGATACGTGTATGTACACTGACTAAAAAGTAATCTTATAAAAATAAAATGCTCCTAAGAAAACCCCAGCTTGTAAGTCTGACTAGCAAGTGTTAGATTTTCTTGTTAACTTTTGAATGGAACATGAAAGCTGGAGGTTGGAGTTGAAAACAGCTTAGACCTGTATGAAGACATAAGGAGTAAATAAGCGTAGGTGCTGAGGCAGACCTGAGTTTATGAGCCCACAGAACTGGCTCCTCCTTACTCAAGTTGGGGTTTGTACTGGATGAGGCCCTTTTGTCTGTGCTGTAGATGCGAAGGCATTCATTCTGCTGACTTAGGTGCCCTGTCAAACTGTGACCAAACTAAAGCGTTAGAATCACTGACCATGGAAAAAACAAAGGAAATGGGAAAATACTGCATAATTTGTGGTCTCTGAAATGATCCAGCATTAATGAAAGTTTGTTTTAAGTAGTAATTTGTGTCAGCTTTGTATAGTTCAGGTCAATTCAAGAAAAGGTAAATTCCTTCTGCCAGGAAGAAGGGAAGAAATGTATAAATTGTAAGTTTATATTACCATTGGAAATAGAAACACAGAAATCCATTATTTAGAGCCATGATTACTACCAAATTTATCCTGGCTGGCTAGAAGTTATGGCCGTGGTTCAGGACACCCTTTTAGAAGTCTTGGATTCCATTACCTTCAGCTTGTAGACAGTGGGGGCTTAGTAAGAGAAACTCATAATGCCAGCTTTTGAAACTGTCATTTTTACTTTTTATAAGTACTGACTGACCACTAGTCTCCATGTATAGCTCCTTTTAGGCTAAAGGAACACAACTCCAGGACAGGGCCTTCACTCCTGGGGCCGGGACCAGACTGGAACTGAGTGAGGTCTGTAGTAATCTGATGACTTCTCGAAATCTCGAGTCCTTTGAGATTAAAATGCTTAATGTTTGTGGAGTTGGTATCTCTAAACTAAATTTTAAAAATAAATGCAGATTGCAAATTTTCTGTAATTCTAAAACTGTTGTAAATAGTGTTTATTAAAATAAATGAATACGTAATCCCAAAAAGAAAGGACTGTGATTTTTCATGGGCGCAAAGGTGTTATCTAAGGATTATTATGGGAGCTGGAAGTGAATTTTACATGTAAATTTAACTTGATATTTTCAGAAAAGCAAATCAATGAACGTTACTAAAAAGAACTTTATTTCACTTCCTCACCTCAGTTTACATTGCTATTAAAAGAAAAGTTAGTATTCTCAATTTGTGTTTTGAGGTGCCTTTAGAAGGAGTTTAAGTCCCTCGGATGAAAAATAATTTACCAACGGCAAGAATAGCACACTCTTTTCACTTCTGTGTTATACTTAGGGTTCACCTGGCTAACTGTGAATAGATGCTTCATATGTAGTCTGTCCTCAAAATTGTAGAATAAAATGCCAAAGATTTATGGCAATAAAAACATTGGGGAGCCAGCCCTGTGGTTCAGCGCTCTCACTGCTTCAGTGGCCTGGGTTCATTTCCTGGTCGCAGAACACCACCACAAGTCTGTCTCTTGCCTTGATGTGGTGGTGCCCCACATAGAAGAACTAGAAGGGATTATAACTAGGTTATACAACCATGTACTGGGGCTTTGAGGAGAAAAAAAGGAGAAAGACTGGCAAAAGATTATTAGCTCAGGGCGAATCCTTCCCTGCAAAACAAAAACAAAAACATTGAGGTACTGATAGGTAAAAAAAAAAAGTTTCTTGTCCGTGAAAGGATATATTTATTCCATGAACCCACAACCTTTCTGTCTCTCCATTGTATAGGTTCATTTTATGTGATAGTGATTTCTTTTTTTTTTTTTTTAAAGATTGGCACCTGAGCTAACAACTTGCCAATCTTTTTTTTTTTTTGGTTTTTCTCCCCAAATCCCCTCAGTAGATAGTTGTATACTTTTAGTTGTGGGTCCTTCTAGTTGTGGCATGTGGGATGCCGCCTCAACGTGGCCCGATGTGTGGTGCCATGTCAGTGCCCAGGATCCGAACCGGCAAAACCCTGGGCCGCTGAAGTGGAGCGCGCCAACTTAACCACTCAGCCACTGGGCTGGCCCCCGTGATTTCTTTTTTGACTCTCTTTTCACTGACCAATTAGGTGCCAGATAATTTTAAATAATTGAGTTCTGATTGTTGCAATTTGACAAGGTACTCTCTAGACACTTTCTAGAAAGCAGCTAGAAAATCCCCAATTGACTCTGTCTTAAAATCCCCCAAGTATGTTCACTTGTTCAAGCAGTATTTGCTAAGAGGCTATGCACAAGACTGTCTGTTTGGCTCTGGAGGAAACAGTAATGAGCAAGATAGAATAGGTCACGTCATGTCATGGAAAACAAGTGGTAAGCAAGTAAACAAATAATTTAAAATGGTGATTGGTGCTATAAAGGTGAAATGATAAAAGGTACCTGGAACAGGACTGCTACTGTAGATGCCTTTCTGAGGAGGTTACAAATGAGCTGAAACCTGAATGCAAGAAGAACCAGCTGAGTTAAAATTGGGTAGGAAGAGATGTCCTGATACAAGGAGCAGTAAGTGCAAAGGCCCCAGAGAAGAAAGTGGTATGGTCTTTTAGAGAGATGGAACAGTGAGTGAGTGAGTGAGAATAAATGAGTAAGAGACTGAGTGAGCGTGAATGAGTAAGAGAGCGAGTGAGTGAGAGAATGAATAAGAGTGAGTGATAATGAATGAGAGTAAGTGAGAGAGTGAGTGAGAGTGAATAAGTGAGAGTATTAATGAGTAAGAGAATGAGTGAGAGTGAATGAATGAGTGAGAGTGGATGAGTGAGAGAGAGTGAGATGGTGAGAATGAATGAGAAAGTAAGTAAGAGTGAATGAGTGAGAGTGAGTGAGTGAATGAGTAAGACAGTGAGTGAGAAAGTGAGTGATAGTGAATGAGAGAGAGTGAGTGAAAGTGAGAGAGGGAGAGTGAATGAGTGAGAGTGAGTGTGAATGAGTGAGAGAGTGAGAGTGAATGAGTGAGAGAGTGAGAGTGAATGAGTGAGAGAGTGAGAGTGAATGAGTGAGAGAGTGAGAGTGAGTGAGAGGGTGAGAGTAAATTAGTGAGAGGGTGAGAATGAATGAGTGAGAGGGTGAGTAAGAGTGAATGAGTGAGAGAATGAGTGAGAGAGAGCGAGCATAGGAGATGAGGTCCCAATGGAGCCTTTTCAGCCACAGTCAGATGTTTGGACTTTATTCCAAGTTCACTGGGAAGCCATTGATGGGATGGGGGTGAGGGGGTTATGCAGGAGAGTAACATCATCCGATTTACCTTCTAGAAAGATAATTCTGGTTGTGGTGTGGAGAAGGGGGGGGGGGCAAGAGGAAAACAAAAAAAGACAATGGTGGCTTGGACTGGGGTGATGGTAGAGGAGATAGTGTGAAGCAGAATGCCTTAGGTGAATTTGGGAAGTAGAATCATGAGAACTTACTCTTAAATTGGATGGGTGGAGCAGGTTGGACAAAGGAAGGAAAGAACCAAGGTTTGAGAAACTGGGTGGATGAATATGTCATTTTCTAAGATGGAGAAGAGTAAGGGATGGGCAGGTATCAGACATTAGAAATCGGGTGGAAAGATTTCACATAGATAGCTGGATATAGATGTCTGGAGCTCAGCAGAGAGGTTAGAAGTAGTAGAACAGTAAACCTAGGTTCCAGATCTGGCCCCAGTTTCCTTTTGCATAACAAAGGATTCTGTAAAGAGAAGACCCTTAAGATTTCTCCTTCCAGAATTCTGTGTGTGCTTTCTACCATTATATATGACCAAGCACACCTCTTCCACTCTCACATACTCTTCAAATCCCCCCCAAAAAATAAAAATTAAATTATAGATGTGTTGCTGAAAATATACGACACTGATTATGTTTATTCCTACATGATGGTCCATGTAAAGTTTACAGAAAACTGGATCAAACACAGTGATTACTTACAATTTTGTCAACCCAGGGATTATATTCATCTAGGTTTATTTTTCTCTTTTCTCTTACCTTGGCAGCATTTACCAAAAGAACTGTTGCTCCAGATTCCCCTTCGATCAAGGAAGATGCCACAAGTTTACTGACGGATGGAACAAGTCCACAATCCAAAACGGAGGAATACGAAAGCAAAAAAAGCAAAATGTGATTAATTGCTTTACGTGAATGTTTTACAAATAATAGCCTATCCTTGCTGCAATTTGGCCCAGATTATCTATCAGCCATATCCGAAGCTTCTGCTCTTCAGCATTGCCAAATATGGACTAAAATAACAATACAGTTGATCTTTGTAAATGATATAAGTTAAAACAATCAAAGTAATATCAGCTCATGAAGGACATGCAGCTAACTTACTGACAACTTAACACCAGCAGAGAAAGAGTGATATTTTTCACTTTGCATTTTCCTTTTTCAGGGGTGGTCAGTCACATTTTTCCAACCAAAATTTGGATTTATAATTGAGGTCTTTCAAAAATTACTGGCTTTCTAGAAAGGAGGAAAATGAGTTCCCCCTGAGGCAGAAGTTACCAGCACTTTAGAGTCAGAGAGTGTTTATGTACCACTGATTTTTTTAAAATGCTTTCTCCCTAAATTATCATGTGTTGTAACATGTCATGGAGATATGCACATATAATATTAGACAGTCCACTTTATAAATGCTCAGGATTGTTACATCCATCATCTCAGCAGTTTATTACTACCTGTAGTATCTTAAAATTATTTCCAATCATCCCTTTTTTACAGCAATAAAGGATTTACAAATGCTATCTGAATTGTAGAGCATGGTAAAGAATTCATAGCACAATTTATTTATTTGTCTTTTTGTGGCCAAATGTCCCACTGTGGTTACTTCAGTCATATCCTGCATCATCTTTGCTTCACTCTGATCAAAATCATACTACCAAACTCCTGTGTCCGTGAGATTTACTCTGCAAGAGTTCTTGTATAAGTTGATACTATCGATCTACTTTGAGCATTTTAGCCTTTCTCAGCATCAGTGTCTTTAAGAACTTATCCTCTACATGCTGATCTACCAGTGGAGAAAGATTTCTATTAAATGCTAGATTATAGTAAACATCCAGAAACTGAATCCCACTGGCCATGATGGAAATATCCTGCACAGGGACAAGGACAATAAAACAATACCTTCATAATGTGCATTACATTTTGTCTTTGTTAAAGTATATTTGCTTGTTGGATTTCTCATATTTCATAAAGATGCTTCTATTACCACTCAAGATATGTTTTCCTAACTTACCATATTTTGAAAGTGCAGCAGAAGAAATGGCACTCTATTTCTCTGAATTTGAATGCAACTGTTACTACAGAAGAAGGAGATGTTTTATATCAAAAAATTACATAATAGCAGTCGACATAACCTCTGAGAGTACAGCCATGTGTTTTATCATTTGTTCATTCCAATTACCTTTTATGAGTTCCTACTATAGGCCAGTCAGTGTGCTAGGCAGGAAAAAAGAGACAGGAAAAAACAGGTGTGCATGTCCAAAAGTGTGTTCGGCATTAGGAATTACATGAAAAAGAAGTGACGTGTTCAGGCTAGTAGAAATTGTGGATTAGACAACATTAAACAGGTTTGGTTTGGTTTTGTCTAACCTCAGGACTTCAAGCTGTTAATGTGCTAATGAGCTCTATGAGGTTTTAGTGAGAGTAGCCCTGTATGAAGGAGCGGCTCACAATCCTGGTGTTCCACATGACCTATATCACTCTATAGTAATGTTTGGGGTATTGAGAAATTATGTCAGTATTTGCATTGATGTTTTGACCAACACCATAATATTTTATTTCTTTGGATCTAAATGACTTAAATCCTACAGATAAAGGTTAGTTTAACAGCCTTTCCTTTAGTGTGTTAGTAGGAACTTCATACAGTCCATTCTATTTAATAGGAACTAATCTAAACCATTTTTAGCACATCTGTGGTCATTAGAAAATTACATCAGGCCAGTAAGACATGAAAGTTTAAGGTAACTCAGATTATTTACTTGGCAAACCCTTGAAAACATATTGGCTGATGGTTTTATAACAGAATGGAGAAGAATCTTATGAAAGACCTTTTTTAAATCTGAAAAAAAACAAGACCATTATATCATATTATTGAAAGCCCTATGCTACTGTTGGATGAATGAAGGTGTCGGACTTTAAATATGGAACACACAAGAACTTCAAAGGCAAAGTCAACTTTTTGTGAGCAACAATTTTGTCAAAATTCCTTGGCCCTCTGTGTATATGGAATTAAATCCAAGGACTTGTGTCCTCCGAGGATTTTTCCTATCTCTTGCAGTCACCATAAGCTTGAGCTGGAAATCAGGAGGAATGCTAAGGAACACTAATAGTTTGATTTGTTCATATTAAAGCCAGCAACTGTTTTTCCTTTACTCACCCTTTTGGCAGGATAGCATGTGATATCAGCCCCATTTGAGTTGTGGCCGGTCAGCCATATTGCTTATAGCACTAGGACATTGGAAGGGATAAACCTTATTCTTGCGGTGGGCCTGGTCCAAGACTTAATTTGAATATTGACCTTTTTGGTTTAATAATTTTGATTCTTCTGGCCATCTTTCTCCCTAAACACACTAAACTTCCATTGAAGTTACTGAAGGCCACAGAGGCGAGAAACACAGCTGGGAGAAATCTGGCTTGATGTTTTTCCCATTGGCTCAGGTCATTATTATTTCCTTCGCTTGTGTCTGATTTGAAGGTTGGAAACTAGTTGGTTATATAACATCTTATGCATCCAGTTTCCCAGAACCCAACTTATTTTCTTATTGTGATAGTTTACACGTTTTTACTAATAAGGAGATAAAATCTATAGCTTAACAAAATAGTGCACATAGGGCATTTGGATTTAAAGGTTACATGGAGAGAAAGTGCCTAGCTACTTAGCTAAGAAAACAAGCCTATTTTTCTTTTTGTTCTCATTTCAACTATGTTAAATGCATTTTCCATTTTGAGGCTCAAGTCAGTGGTATGTAAAGTGTATTTAGAGTCACAGTAATTGTTACATTTTCTCTAATCTGTATTGAATCTTATAGTTAACAAATATTATTTTAAGTGAGACCAAGTTCGTATATATAATTAGATAGTATATTTACTTAGCAAACCCCTTTTTAGAAGGGGTAAATATCTCAGTTTGTTTTACTCAGGATTTGTATTATGAACCCAACTACACATCATATGGTAGTCAAGAATATGAATGATCATTAAGGAAGTTACTCCTTTTCCAAGATTCTTACACCCCCTCCTCAAACCAACTGTCCCAGTATTTTCTCTCAGTTTAAAACAAAACGAAACAGAAAATTTGTGATTTTCATGGCCTTCAAATGAGGAAGCTGTCCTCACGAAAGCATCTGGTTTTCTTGGATCAAAACTAAACCATGAACCTTAAGCTGGAAAGAGAATTTGAGAAAGTTTGTATATAAAGGCATTTCGTGCACCAAAGTATGATATAAAAATAGTTACATCTTTCAACTTTTAAGTTCTCAAATGTTTAGCAATGAAAACATATCAGCTTATCCCTATTTGAGAAAAGAAATTTAAACCATCAAAGATTCCATTTCGTTTCATTTCCGTACAAAACACGACACATCTAATTTAAGGCTAGAAGAAATGCTTACATCTAGAAGCAGAACCTTAGATTCCAAGCCCCCAAACAAATTGCAGGGAAGTCTCCCTTGCTTTTGATTAGTAACAAAGTAAACCAAGCTGCTCTGCTCTGGTGAAACCAGCCCAACTTTCAAGTTCTAACCTCATCTGCCCCCATTTTAGCCTGTTCTGCTCTATCCATGCCTGTACCCACAACCTACCTAAATCTTTACCCCACCCAAGTCACTCTTAGTGTTCTACCAGGTGCACGCCTACTGTTGATCTCTGAAGTCTAGTAACTCAACAGCCCTCAATAAAGGGGCAGACTGGGGTTTGTAGCACCTGCATTTCTTTCAGGACCAGCCAGTTTGACTACTCACATGGTTGAAACCCTAGGAATACTTCTGTGGCTGGGTATTATCTTTTCTTCCATAACACAGCTTGACTCTGATGTGGTACAAAGCCATGTGACAACTCTGGATGTGCACTTGCTGCCTTGCCCTCTGAGGGAATATAGTAGATTTCTAAACATAGCAGCATGTTAGTTCCCTTTCAAGAGGATAGTTGAAACAATGTATAATCTGATGACCTCTACCTTTCAACATGTAGAACCTTGTGGCTTTGAGCATATAGGCAGGAAGGTGAAAAAAAAAATGTTACTATAGTCAAAATAGAGCCATACAACAGTTATCACAATAGAATAATAATTATAACAATAACTTGCTATGTTTTAAGAAATTGGAGTTCACAATTGCTATTCCCTAGAATAAATGCACTGGTTTCTCAAACTGTCAGATGCTGGACTTTCATGCCCAGACTGTCTTCTGTCATCTCTCCATAGATCCCCATGACTTGGCACACTTTAATTTTTCATTCTTCACTAAAGCATTTTGACTGGCATTATTTAAATGAAAATGAAAGTTAAAATTTATCCTTAAATATTCGACCTCTGTGTCATCTTAGCTGTATACTTTACTGGAAATAACAGATCAGAATACTGGCTCGAAGCAATATTTTTTTAAACAAAATTAGTGGATATTAAACTACCAACAGTTCAGATGTTATAATTTAAAAGTAAGAAAATATCTTATTCTGAGGGAAAGGAGTATATTATATGCTCATTAGTTAGTCACTAATTGACAGTCTCCTTTAAATTCTGATTTAATATTTCTTAAAATCATACTTTTTTTAAAAGAAAAGGACAAGTCTAACTTTTACAGTATCAAGTTTTCCATAAAATTACAGTTTCCTTTTGTTTTTTTCTTAGAAATTTTTCAATTTACAGTCAGGTGTATTTTTGAGTCACTGAAGCCATGAGGAGTTCAAATGGCTTTTAAAAGCCCAAAACACTTGGCCAAAATGTAAAAACATGTACTTCAAGATAGTGCATCTCTCTTTGTTGTTGAAATACTATATTTCAGTTGGAAGTGTCTCTCTTGCATTTCTTTCTCTGGCATCCATAATCATTTCCTCAAGGAT